GTTTTGCTTGTTAGCTTGTCAGTTTTGGTTTATGTGCTTGTGTGTCTGCCTACACGTAGGTGCATGGTACGTATCAACATGTTGATGTGCATACCTGTTTACATACAAACGGTTCCCTGTCACAGCCTTTTATGCGAGCATGAATATCATGGAGCATGACTGCGCGACAACAAATCCGTGACCATCGGAACGGAGATGCTCTATCCGAATGGCACTTGTAGCTTCAAGCTAGGCTCTGCCGTGAATCCAGCACGATTCTGGGGCGTGCCTCACCAGTGTTTCTCTCTGCAGCTCTCATACTCATTCGGTGCCTTCCAGGACAGTCATGCTGATGTTCGGACGAGAAACCAAAGTGTTTTGGGGCTCAGACTCAATCCACGGATGCTGAGCTTCCCCACTCTCGTTGGGACTGTTTCAGGGTCCACTATTCTGTAGTCTCAACAGAATTCCTGGAAGACGCAGAATGCACCAATTGCATGATGCATCCTTCATCGGGGTTAGCAGGAGAGGGGGTCCAAGATGCATCTCCCAATCCCTTGCATCTCTCCGTTGCTATCTTCTGGAGGTGGACGCATTTCTTCATGATTTACATTTACCAACTGTTCTTTCTCGTGTGATCGGCTCGGCTAGCAGAAACATGCTTGTCACGACGCGCACATGTTCTCTCTCCCCCTCTCACTGCCACTCACGCACACAGACACACACACACACAGAGACACACACAACCACCCACACACACACACACAGACACACGCACACGCACACACGCACACGCACACATGCACAGGCACACGCACACATACACACGCACACGCACACGCACACGCGCACACGCACACACGCACACACATGCATGTTCGATGTTTTGCATTTTGATGGAATAGCGATCCTGGTCCTTGTTCTTATCGAAACTATTCTGGTGACTTCCATGGTTCTTGATGTTACGTGCTATCGTATCTGCTATCCCGATGGTTTTGTATCAGGTAACAATACCCTTAAATGAATCGAAACCGTCATGGTCTTGGACACCCCTCTCTTTCCCTAGCGACTCTTCCAGTCGAGGGATGCAGGTCTTGAAGCTCACAGCTGGACTTTTTCAGATGTGCCGAGGTCGAAGGAAGCCTCCCGGTTATAGTATATAGAATAGAATAGTATAGTATAGTATAGTATAGTATAGTACCATATAGTACAGTATAGTATCGGAAAGTATAGTATAGTATGACAGTCATGTGGCGGTGACCTCATCGATTCGAGGCCTTAGGTTTCTGGCCTTCCTCGTCGCATCTGAGGCGCAGAATTACTCAAGTCGAAGCATGTAGGCGTGCATTGCAGGTGGTGCTTAGAGCCGTTCCGCAGTCAGACATGGGATTTGCCGGAAAGACCTGTTATGCGTCAGGGCCGAAACAGCGGGAGAACTACCGGGCAATTCCAGAAATCACGCCCAACACCCTGTCCCTTTCTGCATCATGTACAACGACCGAGCGGCAAGCAACATCTGGCTGGCATGCCGGTACATCTACTGTGGAGGCTGACAGGATGTAGTAGCAGTTGTCGTCGTAGTAGTAGTAGTAGCAGCAGCAGCAGTAGCAGTAGCAGCAGCAGGTAGGAGTAGCAGCAGCAGGAAAACGAAGATTCGGGAGGATACCTGGGAAGCTTCCTGCCGCAGGTCTTCTCCACTTGGATCCAAAGCCTCAGTTGCCCTTGCCATGAAGTGATACTCTAGTCGCATCTGCACAGGTCTCTGAGTAGTATGACACATGTGGAGCTGTAATGCTACAAGGGCTCAAGAGGACACCCCTGGAGACGGAGCCTATGCCTTACTCATATCTAATTCGAACCCCCGCCCGAAAAGAATCCTCAAACTTTAACCTTCTGCGGCCCTCAAACCTAAATATGCATCACATTAATGGCATGGCTGCAAAAAAAGATATAAAAAGGAAAACTAAACTCATCGCCAACTTCGTCCTGCTGGTCTCCTGCGTTCGCCCTTTAACGGCGGTCATACGCCCACACGGCATAGCGGGCGCTTTTCTGTATGTTTCAGTTCAGCATGTGTGTTAAGGGTTTTGTTTTAGAGATCGGGTGTGCGAGATAGGTTTGGGGAAATAGTACCTCGATAGTGACCCGATAGTGTATACCCCCCATGTATCAACTCCAAGTTCTTCAAAGTCCGTCTTCAGAGCTAGGGGTTTCATAAGTTGCTGGGGTTGTACGCTACTGATACATCTTAAGCATGTGCTCTGGATAGTATGCATTTGTTGAACGGTTCTGTTGCTAAGACTACATGTGCGGACACTGGAGCATCGATCCGAAACATGCGGGAAAGGAAGATAAAAGCACAGGCAATTCAAGGGTACGCTACCACCGGGCCCTGCACAATCGAAGCTCTTGGAAGGAGAAGCTAGGTCGGATCCTTGTGCCGGCCCTCCACCGCAGTAAATCCATTGGAGCACGCGCAAGTGATCGAGACCGTGTACCCAGATACCGTCAGATACCTGTACGCACATTAGATACACTTGCATCTCTGTCTCTCATTTGTTGATGTTTTTTGTCTCTCTCGCTCCCTCTCATTCGTTTTTCTCTGCGAGTCTGTGAGTGAGGGGCGTTGGGGTCCGTATATGATCGTATATGTGTATTTGTTTCTTCAATTCCGTAGTGGTTCCCGGCTGCTAATTGCTGCCACCACCGCTAGTGCCACTACATGCTGCTACTGCTGCTCCTCAGCGCTGCTGCTGCTGTGTGCTTACTGCTTTTGCTACCCCTAAAGCTGCCGCCACGGCTATTGGTGCCGCTGCTGCTGACACTGATACTGCTCCTGCTGCTGTTGTCTTGTGCTGCCACTCCCACGGCGGCAGCTGCAGCAGCAGCAGCAGCAGCTGCCGCTCTGCTGCTACTGCGTGCTACTGCCACTTCTCCTTCCAGTTCTACTTCGTGGTCCCTGTGGCAATCTGCCCAAATTGTGCAGCTATTGTGACGGCCTCTGTGACGACTCGACGGGGACTACGACTACCACGCTAGCCTACCACGCTAGCAGTGTCAGGGGAAGTCAGACGCACTGCAGCAGTATCGGTTTGCAGTGAGCGTCGCTTTCAGGCCCGGTGAGTAGGCTCCTGTAGAGAGTTGTAATTCGCACGAAAGGTCGGCGATGCTTTGAATGGCAAGCCCCTCCCAGCTCTGACCTCGAACATGCTGCTGCGGCAGAAGATCACATGACTGCCAGAAGTTCAGCATCTAACTTCTTAAGATGGCTTGCGTGGTTTCTGGTCATGTTGCTGCCAATGTGTTCTGCGACTTAGAGACCTCTCTAGCAGCCGGCTGGTTCGAGCCGAAGATAGTAAAGGCTGAATGTCCCGGGACTACAGCTTTCTTCAACTAATGATTGGAGTCCTGAGCCTACATTTGTTGGAGAGGCCGTGTGCACCACATGAAAATATATCAGGGTAGGCCGGATTGCTCTAGCTGGCTTGTGGGAGACTCTACGACCAGTCATTCTTTCACTAGCACAAATCATTAAAGCAGCATGGTCAGTGCCAGGAATCTAGCTATCTCGCCTCCCATGCGAGAGTTCTGCATGGCAACCACCAAAAGCTGCGTGGGATTTCTCGCCCCGGGGCTCCGTTCCAGCCTGCAGTCTGAACTTGTCCTAGCCAGAGAGATGCAAAGAGCCTCCGTCATGTGCAGCTTGGGTGATGCAGTTCCAGAGGGGCGAGGCTTGACGGAACAAGTCAAGTGGGCGTCACGGATGAGTTGGACGGGTTCAGCCCGGACACGTCCTCCAGCTGCTGAGGTCGTAAGAGATGCCCTACTTGCACTCAGAGCGCCAAGGTCTTTCTCACAGGCTCGAAATGTGGAGGAGGAGGAGGAGGAGGAGGCGGAGGGGGAGGAGGAGCAGCGGGTTTTAGGCCTCGTGCTGTGATCGCTAGCATCCGGAGTTCCGCCGAAGGCTGTGTATGTGCAGTGCATATGTTTTCGATTGCTAGCAGAGCCGGGACTAATTACGTATGTAGTTGCATGTTGCTAGCGCCGGAACAAGTGCCCGGGAGTGCAACAGTTCATCTAGAATGCCGGCTTGAGCACGCAGAGAGCGCACGGGCGGTGCGGCAGCCGACGCTTGCGTGGACACGTCTTTCATGTCAGAATCCACCAAGCTCAAGGCGGCCCAGAACAGCACGTTTCGTTCCCAGCTTGCTCGCAGAAAGAGGAGAAACGTAGACGCGAGGCCCTGATCCGTCTCCGTAGATTTGAAGCATTGCATTGCCTGACGGAGTATCTAAAAGGCCAGCTCTTGAGTTTGGCTGAACCAATAGGATGCATGTCAATCCTCATCTTGAAATAACCCTTGAAGCTGAGATGCACGAGGACATATCGAGTTCTTAACCCTCAAGAGGAGGCTTGATGCCCCTAGGCCCAGTCAAGGGTCCACATTCCTCTGGGGTTTCGGGGTTCCGTCAGGTTTGTGAACAGGGCATGCACTCTGCGCCATAAACCCAAAAACCCTAAAAATCCATCCTCAGCAGCCAGAAGAAAGCCATTTCAGCAGCGCTGAGGCCACGCGGTCTACCTGGTTCAGTTGATTCACCGCCTTTCGGGTCACCGCTCCATGCAGCTTCCTGAGATTCAGGAATGTATAGGGTTTTGGGATGTTCACTTCTGCGTAGAAACGCTCTATTTCTAGCATCAGTGGCAGGTTGTCGTGGTCGTTGTCGTGGTCGTTGTCGTCGTCCTTGTCGCGGCAGCAGCCGTGCAGCAGCAGGAGCAGGACATGTGGCACCACGAAGGTAAACTGTCGGACCTCCGGAGAGCTAGACACCTCACTCACCGTGGATCAACCCCATTTCGTGAAAGCTGACACCCCAAGCCCTTCCAAAAGCTATGACAGAACATCTTGCAACCCCTAACCCCCCAGGTACCTACTATATAGGGTACTAGAGCCCCTGGGGCCCTATATAGTAGGCATCTGGAGGGTTAGGGTTAGGCAACGCCAAGCCCTGGAAGCAGAGGCTGGCTTTCGTTGACCTGGCTGCACCTGCGCCTATCGCGCCAGGGCACCCGACTGCTGGGGTAAACCTTTGCTTCAGGTTTGCACGGAGGGTGTCCGAAATCGAAGGCACTGACCTGCCCCAAAAGTCATTGCTGACTTTAGGAACCCTGCCAACACAGCCGTCACGCAGAGCCTGGACGCCCTCAAGGCATGCTGGTTTCTGGTTTGGGTGAGACGTTTGGATCTTGGAGATGTGCGGGAAATTTTCGGAAGTCCTTGCCTGACAGTTATGTCATGCCTTGCAAAGATCAGTGCATGTTCATGCTAGGAGCAGGAGCTCGCGGAATGCCACCTCTGACCACTGATTTCACGAGGGCTGCTTACGATCTAAACTTAAAGTTTCGTGCCTGTGCCTCGCCATCTTAGACTGCCGGCTAGACAGCCATCATCCCGTGCCGCACGGCAGCCATGAGCACACTCCGTCGTCAGTAGATGCGCTAGCTGTCCTTCCAGAGAATTTGCAAATCCGCGGATACCTACTCGCACATGGGAAATTCAGTTTTGCAGGCGAAGCCCGTAGCTATCAAATCCGGCAGGTCAAGCATGGACCCCAGAAAGCAAATTGGGCCTTCTTCTCAAGCGTCGGAAGCCCTTTTGGCCCAGAATCTCTTTGCCCCTCCCTAACCCTCCAAGTACCCACTATATATAGGGTCCCAGAACCTCTAGTACCCTATATAGTAGGTACCTGGGGGGTTATAGGGCCTGGGCATGTCAACTGACAGGCTGCCTTGCTGTGCCAGCGGGACGGCCGAGAAAGGAGCTGGGATTCCAATGCGCCCCGACTTGCGGTAAGGATTCAGGGCTACCCATAGACCCCATAGTAGTTCCTTTTTTGGGGGTTACCTTATAGGATTCTATATATGAACCCCAAAAAGGAACTACTATGGGGCCTATATGGGCTAGGGCCTGGGACATCGGCAGGATGCCGCAGATTTGGAGGGCTCGGGTTCGGTCTTATATTCGCAAAGGACGTTGTTCGATGTCTGTAGGCGCAAGTGACAGGCTGGGCAAAAGCTTCCAAGGCAACGCATCTCCTTGAAATCGCTGATCTGTGCAGTAGGATCACTAGGAGGGGTCGAAGTCAGCGAGATTTTAGCTCCCGATCGCCCCTGCTTCCGAACCTGACTCCTACACGATCAGACCTTCTTGGCGAGCGCGGCCCGGACCTCCAAATACTGTGTAATTGCTTTCTTGTTGTGAGTTACGTACTACTATCATCATCGGCATCACTGTGTATTCTTATTCTGTTATGTTGCACAACATATCTGTTAAACTGCTAAATAGTATAGATCGCTGCCAGATCTTGCCCCAGCTGCTGGAGTGTTGGTTGTCTCCTGCTCCAGGCCGAAAAGGGGGCTGACATCAAGGGGGGCTCGGGCACTTGAATTGGGCCTCGAGATTCTAGCAATTGTGGGATACTTTTCCATTTGTTTAAATGGCGCCTAGACCCTCTGTAGGCCTCGAGGACCTTACACACCTTCCGCGCCTGGGGAGGAATCCTGAGCGGTCTTAAGCACGATGGCCCCAATCCTTAAAATAAGTTACTATGTAAGGAACCCCTACTGTATACAATATATCCCCATTATGGTAGCTTTCCATTAAGTTCCTTAACAGTCACGCAGCATAGCCTGGGCCTTGCGATCTTGTTGTCCGACCCAGAAAAAACGACGGCGGCAGGCCAAGAGTCATCCGTGGTGTTGTTGACACCAGTCCGTTACTCACTCGACACACACCAAGAGGCCTCTTTGGCGAAAAGGGGTCTGCAGTCTACAGCTTACATAGAGCTTTAGGCGCTTCAGGCGTTAAATGTGCTTTCAAGGGCCTGTCGGGTTTGGGGGTTGGCATGTGGGGATACACGGTGTTCCGGATTTCAGAAGGATGAGTGGCAGGCGATTCGGACTGCTGGGTTCAGCCAGTGATCAGATACTTCGTACTTGCCACAGGTGTTTTGTTGCCGGATGAAGCCAGTTCCATGATTTTGCTTGGGGCAGAGGGTGATGCAGTCTCTGGCTGCATGGGGTAGTGGTACAGTGTTTGTCAAGCTCCTGCTTTTGTCCGGCTGGTCTGAAACATATCCTAAACCCTAAACATCCCTAAACTATAGAATCATAGCGCTGAGACTCAGAACTTTGCACTCAAGCTTCAAGTCCTCCGGAAGAAGCTTCCCTAAACCCTTGAATGCTTGGCACTCAGGGCATCTTAATACCAACATGTAGATGATGACGAGTGTGTATGCACATTTAAACGCATGCACATGCGCATATATGTACATGTGTGTGTACGTATTTATGCATGTATGCATGCGTGTATGTGTGTGTATATATGCATACATGCATGCATGCATGTATGTATGTCTGTATGTATGTATCAATTGCTTGCTTGTTTGCTTGCTTTGCTTTGCTTTGCTT